CCCCAATAAAACACCCCAATACCACCATACACCCCAATAAAACACCCCGATACCACCGTGCACCCCAATAAAACACCCCGATTACACAGCACACCCCAATAAAACACCCCAAAACCACCATGCACCCCAATAAAACACCCCGATTACACTACGCACCCCAATAAAACACCCCGATTACACAGTGCACCCCAATAAAACACCCCAATTACACCGCGCATCCCAATAAAATGCCCCGACACACCGCCAATAAAACGTCCCGATTACACCGCGCACCCCAATAAAACACCCCAATTACACCGCACACCCCAATAAAACACCCCGATTACACAGCGCACCCCAATAAAACACCCCGATACCACCGTACATCTCAATAAAACACCCCGATAACACTGTGCACCCCAATACAACACCCCAATACCACCGTAACCCCAATAAAACACCCTGATTACACAGCGCACCCCAATAAAACACCCGATTACACAGCGCACCCCGATAAAACACCCCAATTACACCGCACACCCCAATAAAACACCCCGATACAGCGAATCCCAATAAAACACCCCTACACCGCACCCCAATAAAACACCCCCCAATTACCACCTGCACCCCAATAAACTACACCGTGCATCCCAATAAACACCCCGATTACACAGCGCACCCCAATAAAACACTCCGATTACACCGCGCACCCCAATAAAACACCCCGATTACACAGTGCACCCCAATAAAACACCCCAATTACACCGCGCACCCCAATAAAATGCCCCGATTACACCGCGCACCCCAATAAAACACCCTGATTACACCATGCACCCCAATACAACACATTGATAACACCGCGCACCCCAATAAAACACCCCAATAACACTGTAACCCCAATAAAACACCCCGATAACACCGTAACCCCAATAAAAAAAACCTGATTACACCGTACACCCCAATAAAACACCATGATAACACCGCGCACCCCAATAAAACACCCGATAACACTGTACACCCCCCGATTACACCATGCACCCCAATAAAACACCCCGATTACACAGTGCACCCCAATACAACACATTGATAACACCGCGCACCCCAATAAAACTCCCCGATAACACTGTAACCCCAATAAAACACCCCGATAACACCTTAACCCCAATAAAAAAAAACGATTACACCGTACACCCCAATAAAACACCCTGATAACACAGTGCACCCCAATAAAAACCCCCGATTACACCGGGCACCCCAAGTAAACTGAGCCGGAACTGAGTGAATCCAGCTGGACGCACATTAAACTGAATCAGGACCGTGTGACTCCAGCTGGGCGCACATTAAACTGAATCGGGACAGTGTGAATCCAGCTGGGCGCACATTAAACTGAATCGGGGCCGAGTGAATCCAGCTGGGCGCACATTTAACTGAATCGGGCTTTGTGAATTCAGCTGGGCGCACATTAAACTGAATCGAGACCGTGTGAATCCAGCTGGAAGCACATTAAACTGAATCGGGAGCGTGTGAATCCAGCTGGACGCACATTAAACTGAGCCAGGGCCGAGTGAATCCAGCTAGATGCACATTAAACTGAATCGGGGCCGAGTGAATCCAGCTGGACGCACATTAAACTGAATCCGTCTCTATCTGTGGCTGTCTCTCTCTCTATCTGTGGCTGTCTCTCTTTCTGTGACTGACTGTATCTATCTGTGACTGACTGTCTCTATATGTGTCTGTCTCTCTATCTGTGTCAGTCTCTCTATCTACTATCTGTGTCTGTCTCTCTCTATCTGTGTCGGTTTCTCTATCTACTATCTGTGACTGTCTCTCTCCATCTGTGTCAGTCTCTCTATCTACTATCTGTGACTGTCTCTCTCTATCTGTGTCAGTCTCTCTATCTACTATCTATGTCTGTCTCTATCTGTGACTCTCTATCTGTCTGTGACTGTCTCTCTCTATCTGTGACTGTCTGTCTCTGTAACGGCTACCCCAGTTGGTGAGGGGGTATCAGCCGTTGGGGACGTCCTATTTTCCAGCAAGCCGCTGTTTTTCAGTAATGGAGTTCCTTATTCCCATTCACTGGATCCAAGTAGAGCGCAAGGCAGAGCTCTTAAAATAGCTAGGTGATTAAGCTGAAGATTCCCTTCCAAGAACGAGACAAGGCTAAGTTTTGAAGGGTCAAGAAGAACTGAATTTTAATGGCAGGTACTCTCCTTTTATGCGATGCTTCCCATGCAAGGGAGCCACCCATATAATTATTACAGTAACCAATACAGCACAAGGTACAACCCACACATCTCCTCCCCTTAGATAAGCGTTTAACATAATTAACAAGCACACATTTTTCCCCAAGTTTTGGATGTACCCCAAATATCTGGGGTACATTCATAAATCCGGTATCCCCTGATAGCCCTAATCTGCGGGAGCAACATATTTAAAAATCACCCAGATTGGGTCAGGGGTTCGGGAGTTATGGAACTTTAAAGTTTTGACCGACTGCACAGGCACAATAGCCAAAAACAGTTCCATAAGTTTTGGCCTTGCGGTCGGTCTCCATTCGTGGATTAAGAGTCCCGAAATGCTTGCCATCCGTGAATATCCTGAGGTTCGTTAGCGTCCCCATGTTTAACTTAGTCTCTCTACCGAACGGCGGAATGTTCGGTAGTTTCGGCACAAATTTATGGAAGTCTGGAGGTCTCAGCGGTGTTTGCCTAGTCGAGTGTCCGATTTTAGTTCCAGACACTGGACAGCAAAATACCGATGTTCGGGAGTTTAAGATGGTCACGGCCACGTGTAAAACTCCCGAAATGGCGGCCACCCAGGGACTTAAACTAATCATTCGTATGTTTTCAATATGACTGTATTAACCAAACAGGGAGGTAAATTGAAGCACAATTAGGTATCAGGGTGGTCCGGTGTTCGGTAGTTTTCCTTCGTACGGTGAATGCAGTGTCAATATAGTTTTGGTGAAAACAAACGAATTCTTTAATCTACCGAAAGTCTTTAAAGGACCACTCTAGGCACCCAGACCACTTCAGCTTAATGAAGTGGTCTGGGTGCCAGGTCCTTCTAGGGTTAACCCATTTTTTCATAATTATAGCAGTTTCAGAGAAACTGCTATAATTATGAATGGGTTAAGCCTTCCCCTAATCCTCTAGTGGCTGTCTCACTGACAGCCACTAGAGGCGCTTGCGTGCTTCTCACTGTGATTTTCACAGTGAGAGCACGCCAGCGTCCATAGGAAAGCATTGAGAATGCTTTCCTATGTGACCGGCTGAATGCGCGCGCAGCTCTTGCCGCACGTGCGCATTCAGCCGGCGGGGCGTAACGGAGGAGGAGAGCTCCCCGCCCAGCGCTGGAAAAAGGTAAGTTTTTACCCCTTTCCCCCTTCCAGAGCCGGGCGGGAGGGGGTCCCTGAGGGTGAGGGCACTATAGTGCCAGGAAAACGAGTATGTTTTCCTGGCACTATAGTGGTCCTTTAAAGAAAATCCACACAAATGCAGGCAGAACATACAATTTTCAGACAGCTTGATGTCCTTTGCTGGATAAGAGATATATATATAATCCGTGGTCTCTGTTACTTTATATGTCCCCGGCTAGTTCTTAAAGGGCCAGTAATGCCATATACGAACAGGCTTTGTATTTATGTGCAGGGTAAAGTGGAAAAAGGCAAGAAAATGGTTGATGTTCCCAGGCACATTGTAGGGATTTGTTACAATCTCTATCTGTGACTGTCTGTCTCTATCTGTGACTGTCTGTCTCTATCTGTGACTGTCTGTGTCTGTCTCTATCTGTGTCTGTCTCTATCTGTGACTGTCTCTGTCTGTGTCTGTCTCTATCTGTTACTGTCTCTATCTGTGTCTGTCTCTGTGACTGTCTCTATCTGTGTCTGTCTCTGTGACTGTCTCTATCTGTGTCTGTCTGTGTCTGTCTCTATCTGTGACTGTCTCTATCTGTGTCTGTCTCTGTGACTGTCTGTGTCTGTCTCTATCTGTGACTGTCTCTGTCTGTGTCTGTCTCTATCTGTTACTGTCTCTATCTGTGTCTGTCTCTGTGACTGTCTCTATCTGTGACTGTCTCTATCTGTGTCTCTCTCTATCTGTGACTGTCTCTATCTGTGACTGTCTGTCTCTATCTGTGACTGTCTCTATCTGTGACTGTCTGTCTCTATCTGTGTCTGTCTGTGTCTGTCTCTATCTGTGTCTGTCTCTGTCTGTCTCTATCTGTGACTGTCTCTATCTGTGTCTTTCTCTATCTGTGACTGTCTCTGTCTGTGTCTGTCTCTATCTGTTACTGTCTGTCTCTATCTGTGTCTGTCTCTATCTGTGTCTGTCTCTATCTGTGACTGTCTCTATCTGTGTCTGTCTGTGTCTGTCTCTATCTGTGTCTGTCTCTATCTGTGACTGTCTCTATCTGTGTCTGTCTGTGTCTGTCTCTATCTGTGACTGTCTCTATCTGTGTCTGTCTCTGTGACTGTCTGTGTCTGTCTCTATCTGTGACTGTCTCTGTCTGTGTCTGTCTCTATCTGTTACTGTCTCTATCTGTGTCTGTCTCTGTGACTGTCTCTATCTGTGACTGTCTCTATCTGTCTCTATCTGTGTCTGTCTGTGTCTGTCTCTATCTGTGACTGTCTCTATCTGTGTCTGTCTCTGTGACTGTCTGTGTCTGTCTCTATTTGTGACTGTCTCTATCTGTGTCTGTCTCTGTGACTGTCTGTGTCTGTCTCTATCTGTGACTGTCTCTGTGTCTGTCTCTATCTGTGACTGTCTCTATCTGTGTCTGTCTATCTGTGACTGTCTCTGTCTGTGACTGTCTGTGACTGTCTCTGTCTGTGTCTGTCTCTATCTGTGACTGTCTCTGTCTGTGTCTGTGACTGTCTGTGTCTGTGACTGTCTCTATCTGTGACTGTCTCTCTACATTCTGGGCTGCTAGGGGTTAAGATGTACAGGGGGAGGGGCTGAGGCTGTCTGGTGCGGTGCATGCTGGGAGCTGGAGGAGGCTGGGTAATGTAGTTGAGAGGACAGGAAATGGCTGCTGCTCCCTGTCTGGGGATACATTGTCAGAGCTCTCTGTGAGTCCTGATACATTGTGACAGCTGGAGGTCAGTAAATAGTGGGGCAATTAGAGCAACTACTGGATGGATATGATCTAATGCTAATAACAAGCTGTCTGTCTGTCTGTGCTGTCTGTCTGTGATCTAATGCTAATAACAAGCTGTCTGTCTGTCTGTGCTGTCTGTCTGTGATCTAATGCTAATAACAAGCTGTCTGTCTGTCTGTGCTGTCTGTCTGTGATCTAATGCTAATAACAAGCTGTCTGTCTGTCTGTGCTGTCTGTCTGTGATCTAATGCTAATAACAAGCTGTCTGTCTGTCTGTGCTGTCTGTCTGTGATCTAATGCTAATAACAAGCTGTCTGTCTGTCTGTGCTGTCTGTCTGTGATCTAATGCTAATAACAAGCTGTCTGTCTGTCTGTGCTGTCTGTCTGTGATCTAATGCTAATAACAAGCTGTCTGTCTGTCTGTGCTGTCTGTCTGTGATCTAATGTTAATAACAAGCTGTCTGTCTGTCTGTGCTGTCTGTCTGTGATCTAATGCTAATAACAAGCTGTCTGTCTGTCTGTGCTGTCTGTCTGTGATCTAATGTTAATAACAAGCTGTCTGTCTGTGCTGTCTGTCTGTGATCTAATGTTAATAACAAGCTGTCTGTCTGTCTGTGCTGTCTGTCTGATCTAATGCTAATAACAAGCTGTCTGTCTGTCTGTGCTGTCTGTCTGTGATCTAATGCTAATAACAAGCTGGCTGTCTGTCTGTGCTGTCTCTCTGTGATCTAATGTTAATAGCTGGCTGTCTGTCTGTGATCTAATGTTAATAACAAGCTGTCTGTCTGTCTATGCTGTCTGTCTGTGATCTAATGGTAATAGCTGTCTGTCTGTCTATGCTGTCTGTCTGTGATCTAATGGTAATAGCTGTCTGTCTGTCCATGCTGTCTGTCTATGATCTATTGTTCATAGCTGTCTGTCTGTGATCTAATGGTAATAGCTGCCTGTCTGTCCATGCTGTCTGTCTGTGATCTAATGTTAATACCAGTCTGTCTGTCTGTGGTCTAATGTTAATAGCTGTCTGTCTGTGCTGTCTGTCTGTGATATAATGTTAATAGCTGTCTGTCTATGCTGTCTGTCTGTGATATAATGTTAATAGCTGTCTGTCTGTGATATAATGTTAATACCAGTCTGTCTGTCTGTCTGTCTGCGGTCTGAATGTTAATACCAGTCTGTCTGTCTGTCTGTCTGTGGTCTGAATGTTAATACCAGTCTGTCTGTCTGTCTGTGATCTAATTGTAATACCTGTCTGTCTGTCTTGTTTTGATAGATATATCCAGTAATCATGGAATATGTATTGAATTGATGTCTGTGGAATGAATGCAGAGTTCGCCCCTTCCCCTATTTGGGATCGTGTTTCTATGCAGACAATGCTTCTTCACACAGAATACAATGGTCACATATTAATAGCTGGATTCACAGAATTCTTGTTACATTGATATGAGGACATACAACTCTCATAACACTGAGCCAGCAGCTATCTGTACTGGCAGTGGCAGCTGTCTGACCCCTTTCTACCTCGCCGTCCTTTATACCTTGTGGTATATGATGAGACAGTTTGGGAGTTTCTGACATTTTAATACAGGCTAGCAGCCTGGCCATCCTGAAAATAAATGCTGTGCTGAGATTAAGCACTTATGTTTTTGTTGGAAAATAGAAAAATGGCTGCAGCTTGCCTTGCTACTATTTGATCATTACACAAACTTTTCTCCAAAACATTTAGGGGAATTGGCACCAAACCCCAGCAGCTATAATTCTAACAAGGCACACGCAGGGCATTTTAGGATAATTAACAAGGCACACGCAGGGCATTTTATGATAACTAACAGGCACATGCAGGGCATTTTATGATAATTAACAATGCACACGCAGGGCATTTTATGATAACTAACAAGGCACACGCAGGGCATTTTCTGCTAATTAATAAGGCACACACAGGGCATTTTATGATAACTAACAAGGCACACGCGGGGCATTTTATGCTAATTAATAAGGCACACGCGGGGCATTTTATGCTTACTAACTGGCTATTTCTATCATGCTCTGGTACAGTGAAACTCTGCCAATATGTATTTCTAAATTCTTCCAATTTACACCATTTTCACTAAAGTTATGAAAAGTGAGTGGTTTGCCGTGCAGTCTAGAGTGTGGTGAGTAAACCTCAGAAGAAACTTGGGAATTGTAGATTTAAGGACAAAATCAATATATACATGGCGAGGTAATATGCCATCTTTTTGTTTTGACCTGACATTTGCTCATCCTTAGGGATTCTTCCATAAACCCCAAAGTTTATAGTGAATTGAATCGCAATTGATCCGATAATTCTGAATCTTTGTGGTTGGTTGCCAACTGGGAGACAACTTTAGGGAAACTGTATTTCCAAAGTTTAGTTACCATAATTTTTTGTTATTTCCTATTGCACGGGTATGTAGGTGGAAATTCGTAATTGTACAAAAGCTTCAATGTCTCCATCCCCCCCGCCTCCCTCCATTTTTAATATTGACACTTTTTTACTTTTTTAAATAAAATTCTCCATCCTGCCAAGGGGCACTCAGTTTCTCTGAACCGGTAAAATGACCCCATCAGTTGCTTCTCTTTGAGAAACATTTGATTGGACCACAGACGACGCGGCGTGAAGTGAGCAGGACATTGTTTTGCATCGTTTGTTCAGATATATAAGCGGAGTGTACATGATCAAAAGGAATTAATAACACAAAAAAAGTGTCAAGAATAGGGTTGTAGTAACCCTTTAAATGTCTTCTCCAATCACATACTGCCGTTATTACAGCACATTGTTCTGATAAACTGGGCTCGGGATCCTAGCCGAACCAATCAGTGGGGACCTTCGGCAATCCCAGAACTTAGATTCACTATGATAATCATCTGGGAACCACTGTCTGCTCCTACAATTCAGTCACGCTAAGCCTAAATGGGGTCAGTGATGTCGTTAAACCTTATGGCAGTGAGCAGAATGGGATTTCTAGCTTTTAGAATTTGCCCAGAATCATAGTTTTCCTGCTCAGTGTGGGGAGAATGACCATTACTGGCCGTGACTCATTGATGGAAACGAGGATCACAGGAAATTCCATCCTTTTTAGTTATTGTATGGCTGAGCATTTAACCCCTGCTTCTCCCTCGGCCCCTCACAGAGTGTTTCCTTGTCTTCGCTCTCTTCCTCCGTTTAGAAGTATCGATGTAAATATCTTTCTATTATCAGTGCATGTAAAGCCATGCTCTCCCTCAGCCCCTCACAGAGTGTTTCCTTGTTTTCTCTCTCTTCCTCCGTTTAGTGTGAGAAGTATCGATATAAATATCTTTCTATTATCAGTACACGTAAAGCCATACTCTCCCTCGGCCCCTCACAGAGTGTCTTCCTCCGTTTAGTGTGAGAAGTATCAATGTAAATATCTTTCTATTATCTAAAGACAGAGAAGGCAAGAAAGGGGGAGGGGTGGCCCTGTATGTGAAGGATAGCATAAAATCTAGCCTAATAAAAGTTAGTGAGGCGAACATAGAGTCCGTTTGGGTTACGTTAGTATTTGGTAATCACACAGTAACTCGTGTAGGTGTGATTTATAGGCCCCCATGACAAATTGAAGAGTTAGATAATCTACTAGTTGAGGAAATAGCTAAAATGACAATAAAGGGGGAAGTTATCATCATGGGTGACTTTAATCTTCCTGATGTGAATTGGAAAACAAAAATAGCTGCTTGTGCCGGGAGCACACATATTCTAAACTCACTACTGGGATTGTCTCTAAAACAAGTTGTTGAGGAGCCAACTCGTAAAGAGGCCATACTAGATTTAGTGTTAACAAATGGAGACTTGGTGGCCGCCATTCGTATACCAAACACGAGGTCGCGGCCATTTTAAACACGTGAACGCACAGCGGTGTTCGACGCCCAACTCATGGAACTGAAAACGGATACATTTTGGCGCGAACACCGCTGAAGCCACCGACCTCCCTTCTTGTTCGGTAGAAGTGCACGAACGGCCCTATATTCGGTAGTTTGCACCTGAATATACCATACCAGATAGGAATCCCGTGGAGCTCATTCGTATGAAAACTGACTTTGTGAACACTTTGGCTCCACGGCGATTGGACTGTGTGCATAGGATCTGAGCGCTACTCGGTCCTTTGGTGCGCTCAGATCCTAGCTATCTGGGGACATGTTGAATGCCTGTAAAATGTTATAAAATGTACCAGTTATGTATTTTTATGTCTTTTGTTATTTTCATCTAAAATGGCGTTTAGGCTCTGTCCTGGGAGGTAATTGAATTACTTCACAATTATCTCCCTGAGCATAGCAGAGGGTTCTGGGTAAGGAAAGGGGAATGGCTAAGTGTGTACCCTGTGATTGGTTGCTACAATGTCTTTGTCACAGTCTTCCATCTGGTCCCCTAGGGGAGTGTCCACCAGGTGGGAGACCTGCATAAATACTGGGCAGGTAGCCCTCATTAAACCAGACCACTGCTTGACCCTCAACACGGAGCCTTGTCTCGTCTTTGGGGAGATTTACTGTATGCTGATAGAGACTGATTGCTAGGAGTGTAAACCACTTGGGTGCTTTTCCTATTTGTCTGCTAGCAGCTATTTGTGTGGTTCCAGTTCGGGAGGTTGGAGTGCTATTTTGTATGCAGTTCGGGAGTTTAGAGCATTCCCTTATATGCGGTTTGGGAGTTTGGTGTTCTGCAGTAGCTGTGCCTGTATCTCTGGAAGGGGAGGATCTTCTAAACGGCGGTTTAACCCTTTTATGCCCGGGGTGCCGTTACAATTGGTGGCAAGCGGTGGGATCGTTCCTACAGCCAGAAGGACAACTACAGGAGACACCATTTCTTTGGATTTTACAAATTGAGGGCAACGTATGTCTTGAGTACAGCGACCCTGACAGCACCAGGATGGAACCAGCAGTGGAGTACAGATACTCTCTGAGAGAGTATGACCGTATGGTGTGGTTCTGGCTAAGCTTCTTCGGACCCGATCCACTGGAGAGATCTGTGCGGTTCGTGAGGAACTCAGTGTTCGCGACTCTGCTAGACAGGGCAGAGAGAGAGGGCCAGCTGGCACGTTGGGAGGAACTCCAGCGGCAGGTACAGTTACGGGAAGAGGAGAGTGTAGCGGAGTAGAGGTATTATCCAAGGTAGCTCCACTGGTAGACAGGAACAGCAATCCAAGACAGGTACAAAACAGGTAGCGTAGTTACATGTAGCGGAGTAGAGGTATTATCCAAGGTAGCTCCACTGGTAGACAGGAACAGCAATCCAAGACAGGTACAAAACAGGTAGCGTAGTTACAATCCCTTCCCTCCAAGAACTAGACGACACATAGCTTGGAGGTCAACTGCCAGGTTTATTCACACATTTGCTTTTATGACTTTTTCCCATGCAAGGGAGGTAACTTAACATATCCAATCACATCGTGGTTACCTCCTCTCCCTCTCCTCCCCTTAGATTAACAGTTAAGCTCATTAGTGGGGACAGAGTTTTCCCCCATTTCTGGATGTCCCCTAAATACAGGGGGTATGGTGACAAATGAGGGGTCTCCTGGTTGGTCTGGTCTGGGTGAGCAACATACTCAAATTTCACCCAGATCAGACCAGGGGTTCGGGAGTTACAGACATTCAAAGATTTGACCGACCGCAGGGATTTGGTAGCCGAAAACAGCTCCATGGATTCTGGCCCTGCGGTCGGTCTATTACACTGAACTGAAAATACCGAATGTTCAGCCATCCGGCTCTAATCTTAGGTTCGGATGAATCCCCTAGTCTGGGGGATTCATCCTACCGAACGGCGGGCCGTTCGGCAGTTTGAATCGGGCAGTTCCGTGGTCCTGGAGGTCTGAGCGGTGTCTGGGTAGTCAAGCGCCCGGTTTTAGTTCCAGGCGCTCGACGACCAGGCGCCGCTGTTCGGCAGTTTAAGATGGCCGCCGCCACGTGGTTTTTGTGCGAACGGCGGCCACCCACGAACCCAATTACCTCTCTGGCAACATTGTTTCCCTCTATACAGGGGAAGCACACGACCACAGCAGGGTGGTCGTGCCTTCGGCACTTTCCAGCGATTATTAGGACAAATACAAGGGAATAATAATGCAGGTACAGTCTCTTGTGGCTGCTTCTGCCACAGAGAGCACAGTCTCCATTCCCCAGCGGCAGTGTGATTTATTGGGAATTGGGAGCCCAAGCTCCATTCCCCAGTGGCAGGCTGAGTTACAGGTGACAGAGATAGTTGCTTCTGTCCCCCAGCAGTGGCGTGAATTGCAGGAATTCGGAGCCCAAGCTCCATTCCCCAGCGGCAGGCTGAGTTACAGGGGACAGAGATAGTTGCTTCTGTCCCCCAGCAGCAGAGTGAATTGCAGGGAATTGGGAGCCCATTCCCCAGTGGGAGATACAGCAGGGAATTGGGAGCCCAAGCTCCATTCCCCAGAGGCAGTACGACTTATTGGGAATTGGGAGCCCAGTCTCCATTCCCCAGCGGGAGATACAGCAGGGAATTGGGAGCCTAGTCTCCAT